ATGATTTTTTAGCAAGCTGTATATAATTATATCAATTATTCGTAAACTCAGTTTCTGATACACTTTAGTACTTGGCATATTATACAGAGTTAAACGAGAGGTTGTTTTTTACCCTAACTTTAAAACACCCTGTGCAATAATTTCGTGTGTAAATTTTTCTAAAATATAATTTTAGGGTGAGAACCATGTCTCCTGAGCATTTTGTTTTTTGGATCATGTCAATATATGCCTTGGTTAATTTTTAAGAGCGAAATGAACTTGCTACCAACAAGTTGCAATTTTTTCAATCATTTCTTTTTGAAGTTAATTTTCAATATGATAAGACGGCTTTGGTGATTATTATAAACGCTATACTACTACGAACTGCACATCATGTTCGACGTTTGGGGTATGCTTGGCAGGAGGTTTAGAATTCGCGAAGCGGTACCAGCTTCATTAAATGAACTTCGCTTGGTAGTAAGTAGAAGTTAAAGAAGAATGGGAAAGCATAGTACAATAAGATATATGCAGCCTCAATGACAGTGTGAACGGACGTATACAGGCAGTTGTAGTAATCAAGGGGGGCAATACAAAGTATTAGGGCATATTTTTTACAATTTTTTTCTTCTGTTTTTATACTTGAATATTACAGATGTTTTCTTTAATATCGTTAGTTTTGTTATCGTTATGAATGTTTATTAAAGCCAGGACTGTATTGTTAGTCTTTAACTTCTATTTATGTAATTTATAAATACATTTGGCGCAAATAGAGACATTTATTTAATACTTTTATACAATTTTTAATAGGGACCTTAAACTAGGCCATACCGCTGTCAAATATTGAAAAAAAGATAATATTAAGTCTTTTGTCAAATAAATCTGTAAATCATCAAACAGTTTGTCTACATATTGCTTGTATATGTTGGGTAAAAACAAATATATGATTTGTACAGGGTGGTCGAAATTGGTCTGTTTTAACAGGGAAAACCTATTTACTGACTAGATAGAGCAAAACCGACATAGATCTCATAGGTTCGATTTCTGAGACACGTTTAATAGCTCAAACTGCCTGCTGATATTTTCACTGCCAACTGAGATACGGGGTCTTTTTGAATTTTTTACCATTTATATGCTTGCTCTTTTTGTCGGAAATAATATAAAATATAATATTTTAAATGGAAATCATAGGTGACTATGAGCTTAAAAAAATGCTGGCATTTAACCCTTTCCAATGATATAAACTTATGGGTATATATTTCTAAGAATGAGAAAAATATTAGATTTTTTATCTTTATATCGAAGCGGGCCTTGCTTTTTTGTTGACCTATTTACTTAATAATTTTTTATCAACATTCTATATTAGTATTAGTAATTACAATTGAAATCTATACAATAAACAAAGACCAAAACTAAAAATAACGTATTTTTTAGTGACGAATATAGTTTTCTAAAAAAAATCACCAAGTTGAGTGAGTTACAACGATTTATTAGGCGAACTGGTGTAATAAGTCCAAAAGCTTACCTAGTAGCCTTCTGCAATTCTTCTCTCGTCCCAGTGGTTCTTTTCTTATATATAAGGTCTTTTAATTTCCAATTCTCTCTAAATTCTCCGAAAATAGTTCAGTTGTAACCCTGGGCGTCTTTAATTATGCAGATATATAAATAATAATATAGAAAAAAACCTATTATTAAATTGTGATAAAAAATAATTAGGTAACTAGGTCAACACAAAATCAAGACCCGCTTCGATACAAAGATAGAAAACGTAATATTTCTCTCATTTTTAGAACTAAATACACATAACTTTATATCGTTGGAAAGGGTTAAACGCTAGCATTTTTTTAAGTTCATAGCCAACTACTATGATTTCCATTTAAAAAATTATAATTTTTATTATTTCTGACAAAAAGAGCAAGTATAGAAAAAAACTGACTATGCCACTAGATTGTGCTTAAAAAAGTGCCTTAAAAACGTTTCTACAGAATTGTATTATTCCGCGAAATACAAAAGTTATGAGAATATTTCCAAATGGTAAACAATTCAAAAAGGCCCCGTATTTCAGTTGGCAGTTAAAATATCGACAGGCCGTTTACGCCATTAAACGTGTCTCAGAAATCGAACCGAAGTCTCAGAAATCGACATCTATGTCGATTTTGCTCTATCTAGTCAGGAAATAGGTTTTCTCTGTTAAAACAGATCAATTTCGACCACCCTATACATTAACAAAATATTTAATCCAACTACTTTTTACCTAGAAGAATAAAATAATATTCTCGTATCTTAAATAATTTTTAATTTACTCTTTTTCAAAGTTGCCAACTGTCATAAAATGTAAAATAAAAAACGTACTAATACAAGAGGGTGAAAATAAGAAAAGGAAATAATACAAGTCCAAAGGCTCTAGAAGGAGATTAACTGGCACTCTGAAGACGCTCAGTCGGACTTTGTCTCAAATTGTTGGTTGTAAACCGAGTTCAAGGAGAAAAAGTTTTGTTTCCTCTAAAAAGGGAGAAAATAGCGTTTGCAAAAAAAACATTCTTTGTAAATAAAGTGTAAGGTTTTAGACTGCGCGTTGAAAGTGTGCAAATAAAGATTATAACAAAACACATAATTTTACCCTTTCATAAAAAAATTAAGTTTAATTTAAAGAGGCGTCCATTTTTCTCAAAGAGACCCGATTTATAAACTAAAAAGACTCAAAATCTCTCATTTATTAAAACTATGTGACACGATTTCCATTCAAACTAGCATCATCAGACAAAGAAATAAAAAGATCAAAAAATAATTTATATAAAATGTGAACGTGTGTGTGCTGGGGTTTTAATATTATTTTCATCTGATGATGCTCGTATGACTGAAGCACGGGTCACATAATTATAATATAGATGTATCAGACCGCGATTTTGAGTCATTTTCATTTTAAAGTGTGTAATAATATATATAGTCCATAAATGAACCACGGCTTAATTGTGTACTAGTTTTACGAGAAAATATTGTAACGCCGTGCTCGGTCAGCTTTGGTTGAAATAATGGCCCCAAATGGCTGAAAAATCAGTTTTTAACAAGTATCTACGAAAAGTGCAATTTACAAAATTTTTCTTGGAATAAAAAATAAAGCTTAGGTAATGACCTACAAAAATGGTCCTCCTGTATCCCAAGTAGCATCTTTGGACACATTTTAGTAATGTTTCGTTTGTTCATTTTAAATAATTGTGTCTGTTTTTTTTGACACAAAATGGAAACGATACACCATAAATAGCAGGGGCGGATCGTGAATTTGTGGGACCCTGGGCTGAAACTACTTAGGGGCCTACATAAGTACTCAACTAATAGCCATATCAAAAAACTGTTTCTATAATGATATATTATTATTCTTCTTCTTTACGGAGTCTCTTTCGTGGAGGTTGGCGATCACATTGGCAAAATCTTCACGATTCTCGGCTTTCCTTATAAGTTCTTCAAAAGTTAGGTAAGTCCAGTTTCTGATGTTTCTCAACCAAGATAGTTTCTTCCTGCCGAGACCTCCCTTTCCTTCAATCTTACCCTTAACTATCAATTGTAAGACGTGGTATTTTTCATTTCTCAATATATGCTCTGAGTATGATGTTTTTCTTATTTTTATTATATTGAGCAATTCTCTTTCTCTGCCTATTCTGCTGTAGACTTCGGTATTTGTGATATGTGGATTTAAGTAACGTTTATGTTACTTATAAATCTACGCAAGTATTAGTTGTACAAAAGGCGACCTTATTGCTGTGGTAGCAATCTCTTCCAGGTAAACTTTGGGTGAGAGAGAAACCGAAATAGTGATATTTTATAAGAATATAAAAAAACAATAAAACAATTTTATTTATTTACTTATTATGAATTACTAAAATAAATTGATAGGTTGTAGTCACAGAAATTGACAGTTATTTGGTCATCAAATTCCAAGTCTTTTGTTAGATCACAATTTATGGAAAGAAGTGATAAATTATTTAGTCGATGGTTCGACATTGTTGTCCTATATTTATTTTCTACATAGGAATCTTGGAGAAGGAGCGTTCTGCTTCACAGCTAGTGATTGGCAATGTTAAAAAAATCTTTAAAATGGTATAGCAGTTAGGGAACACGTTAATAAGTTTATTTTCATACATGAGCATAAAAATGTCACTGCAAGAGGTGTAAGACTCAGACATAGATTGGAGTAAGTACGATTTTAATTGAATGCACTCATTCACTAAATGCTCGTTTACGTCATCGGGATGGTAATCAATAATATGAAGTGCAATTTCCAAATCTATGTTTTCGATATTTTTGTCTTGCAAATCCATTAAAAATTTGAATTTTTTGCTATATGTCTCATAGACTTGTCTCCTTTTATTTAAATCCATAATCAGCTTATCCAACGCAACTTTTAACGTGTCTCTTTAAATCTTTCTGCGCCGTATACTGAGAATTCACCTGTAGACTTATCTGAAAATTTTGGGATAATGCGTCTCTTGTTTATGTAATTGTAGTCTATTATTATACTAGTACTTAATTTTTTAGCTTTTTCGTCGTATTCCTGTAACATTTGATCTGATTGATGTCGTATGTTGTTCACAAAGTCTTTTAAAGAAACAATTAACTTGTTGCCTTCACAATCTAAACCAGGGCTCTGTATTTTTTTATTAACTAAATGAAATCTCTCCAAAACTTCTTCCCAAAAGATAATCAAAATTGCAGTCTCGAGTTTCGCCATTTTATTGAATAAATTTCGTGCCTCTTTCCGGAAATCAACTTTCTCATCCTCTTTTTCGCTGAAACTTTTGAACATTTTTATAATGTCATCATAATTATTTTTTAAGGCTTTGACAGCATCATAGTGGCATGGTTGTCTGGCTTAAACTTTTAACCTGAATTTTAATTTTATTTCACGATTCAACAGTTCCCACCTATGGGTCTATTGTTTTTCGCGGGGCCCTGGGCTGCAGCCCAAACAGCCCGTAGGTAGATACGGCCCTGATAAATAGAAAACATTTTCGAAACCTATTCTTCAGGCTGTTTTCAACTTCAAAAATGGGCAACTAATAGTACCAAAATTCTTCAGCACATTCAAAATCCTTCTACTATTCTTAAAATTGGCAAGGATCAACGAACCAAGATTCTAGGTTTGTATTGGTCTTATGAAGACGATCAGCTAATGTACACTATTGCTGATTTTATCAGTTTAAATAAGTTTACCAAGCGTACTATAATGTCTGATATAGCTCAGATTTTTGACCCCTTGGGACTCTTGGGCCCATGTATCATTTTAGGAAAAATTCTTCTTCAATCACTTTGGTCCTTAAAGCTTGACTGGGATGAATCTCTTCCAGCTACAATAGACAATCAATGGCGGCAATTACGGCAAGAGCTACCAGTACTTAACATTTTAAAAATACCCAGATTTGTTTCAAATACGTCAATCGTTAAGTTGGAGTTACACGGATTTGCCGATGCCTCTTTACAAGCATATGGCGCATGTCCATACATTCGTAGTCTATCTTCCAGCGGAGAGATTCAGGTAAGGCTTTTGACAGCTAAAAGCAGGGTTAGTCCTCTAAAATCGTTAACAATTCCAAGATTAGAACTGTGCGGTGCTCTCTTGTTAGCTCAGCTAGTTGATCGAGTGAAAAATTCAATGACTTTTACTTTTGATGCTATATTTCTTTGGTGCGATTCCACTGTCTCTCTTGCCTGGATTCGTGCTTCTCCAAGTACTTTGCAAGTTTTTGTTCAAAACAGAGTCGCTCAAATACAAAGGTTAACACAACTTAACCAATGGCATCATGTTCGAACCGCCGACAATCCTGCAGACTTTCTTTCCCGAGGTATTTTGCCTAGGGCTCTTTTGGATTGTACTGTGTGGTGGAATGGCCCACAATGGCTTAGCCAACCTAAAGATCAATGGCCCTATTCTGCAGCTACTTTTGAAGGAGAACTCCCAGAAGTTAAGAAACAAAAAATAATTCTCGCAGCTTTTCAAACTTCAAATTGGATTAATATTAATAAATTTTCAAACTTAATGAAACTTCAACGGGTGGTCGCTTATTGTCTTAGATTCATATACAATTGTCGAAATCCCACTGACAAGCAATTTAAACCTTTTAAGGCAAAGGATTTATCTGATACTCCTAGATACCTTATTACGATTTCTCAAAAGGATGATTTTGCAAAAGAAATTCAAACGTTAGAAAGGAGTCATGCGTTGCCAAGGCATTCTAAGCTTCTTTCTCTAAATCCTTTTCTAGACGATGAGGGTATTTTACGTGTTGGTGGACGTCTTAGTCAATCAAATTTTAGTTTTGATGTCAAACATCCAATCCTTCTTTCATCCAAGCACCATCTTACAAAATTGCTTTTTAGACACGAGCATCTAAGATTATTCCATGCTGGACAACAACAACTGCTTTATTCAATTCGTCAACGTTATTGGCCACTGGCTGGTCGCAATTTAGCTAAACAAACTGTTCATTCCTGCATAAAATGCTACCGCTGCAAACCACTGCAACCTTCTCCAATCATGGGTAATCTTCCAAAAGCGCGTGTTACTCCTGCTCCACCCTTTTATAATACTGGCATAGACTACCCAGGTCCAGTATATTTGAGTTCAAAAAAGGGAAGAGGAGCCTAGGTTTCTAAAGCGTATATTGCGCTATTTGTGTGCTTTGTGACCAAAGCCACTCATTTAGAATTGGTGAGTGACTTATCAAAGGACGCCTTCATTGCTGCCTTCCGGAGGTTTGTAGCACGCCGTGGTAAGCCAAGTAATGTTTATTCCGACAACAGAACAAATTGTGTAGGAGCCAATTCAGAGTTACGAGAATTATCTCAATTTTTAAAATCGCAAGAACATTCTTTACAAGATAGTATATCTAATATTGGAGTAAATTGGCACTTCGTACCCGCACTCTCACCTCACTTCGGAGGAATTTGGGAAGCCGGTGTTAAGTGGGCTAAAAGACACTTGACTCGAATAATCGGTAGCGTAAAACTTACTTTTGAAGAGTATTGCACTATATTGGCAGAGGTTGAAGCAATCCTAAACTCTCGTCCAATCACTCCCATGTCCTCAGACCCCAATGACCTATCCGCTTTAACCCCTTCTCATTTCCTTATCGGACAACAGGCAACATCACTTCCCGATCCAGACCTTAGAGACATTTCAACGTCACGCCTTTCAAGATACCAGCTGATGCAGCAGTGCCAACAACACTTTTGGTCCCGCTGGACTCGTGAGTTTCTTAGCGAGCTTCAGTTACGCACCAAATGGAAAACTCAGCAAGCAGCACTTCAAGTTGGATCTCTTATTGTTCTCAAAGATGACCACTCTCATCCACTTCAATGGAAACTCGGTAGAATCGTCTTACTTCATCCAGGATCAGACGGCATCGCTCGAGTAGCTACTATCAAGACATCAAGTGGAACTGTGAAACGGAGTTTTGCCAAGTTTTGTGTATTGCCGATTGAGGTTGAAAGCTGACTCTTTCAAGGCCGGGGGCATGTTTAATAGTCATTCAGTGTTTTTGTTGTTTTCTGTTTTCCTATTTTTATGTGTAAAGTTGCCTTTAGTTATTGTACGTGTGGGACGACCTTAAGAGTCTGTCTGTCAAAAAAGACGAAAGAAGATGGCGGAACAATAAAGTTGTCAGTAATACGTCCGCTGTTTTAATACAAGTTTTTAATTGCAATAGTAATACCTCTGAGTAATACTATCAACAAAGAAAAAGTTCAATCTTCAACAGTCTATAACACTCGAAGTAAGAACAATCTTCGGATTGTCATGGGGTTCTTAACAGGACACTGTCTCCTCAATGAATACCTCAGTAGATTGGAGCTAAGGAACAAAGGCCAATGCAGGTTCTATGTGGAAAATGGAAAATAACCAGAACACCTCAACTAAATACGACGAAGCGACAACCATTGATGCCTTAACATTTAGTACGATTGATATCGGAGATGGAGAACTAACCTCTGAAAACCGGCTCAGATACTGGCTTTTGTAAAATCTCTGAGACTGTAAGATGAGTTATAACTCAAGAAAGGGGGACAAAACAGATCCATAAGGCCGCGGTGATTAACTTTCCCCCTCCCATAAAAGCTACAATCCACCCTGTGTAATTTAGTGAAATTTATTTTTATCTGATGTAAATATTAACATACAAATTTTAACATAAAAAACAGGTTTTATTACTTTGTCAAACAAGACCGTTTACTGGAGTATAAAAATACAATATTGCAAATTCGGCATTTCATGTTTTATGTGACTCGTTATGAAATTTAATAAAACAAAAAATTTCCCGTAGAAACGTCGCGAAAAGACGGCATTTTCCCTTCGGTCCATTATACACATAAAAAAATGTTACCTTTTCTTCCCTTCGCAAAAGGAACAATTATTTTCTTTGCACGTGCTGCGAAAAGAAGGGCAATAAAGTTAAAAGTATATTCTCGTATTTCCCGTTAACAACTACATTTAAGCGAATTATTCTCCTTTCTTTTGGCATATCCGCCTCAACTATTATAATAAAAATGATAGGTTTAGTAAGGAGAAAACTTTTTTATTGTTTTCTAGAGTTTTTGATTAAGATCTGTTTTAAGAAGTGTAAATTCTTCATGTTTATTTATTTTGGAGTGTTACATTATAGCGGCAAAACTCTTAATATTAATAATGTACTTAGAAAATGTAAAAGTAAACTGAATTTAATTGTAACTATTTATCTATAAGGGTCGGTTCTACAAAGCAAGTATACTGGGTTGTTCACCACATACGACACGGAGTATTGTAGCTAAACGATCAGATTTTTACAAATTTTAAGTCTTGGGTTCGAGGAAGGACTATTAGAGGTACAATTTAAAAATAATTTTACAAGATACAGAGTGTCCCAAATAAGTAAAAAATATCAAAGTTACACCCTGTATATTATTGCATTTTTAGTTTCTACGATTAAAATAAAGGTAAATTCGATTAAGGTTTATTATACTTAAACCTTACCGTTTTTGAAATATTTTCAATTTTGTGAAATTGCAGTAAAAATTTTAAGGCTTCATTCCTCCAAGGGTACCGAAGTTTTTAATACTAAATATTTACTGAAATTTATTTATTGATCAGTTATTGTGTTGCAATAATAAAAATAATACTACCTTATACAGAGTTCATTCAAGACATTTATTTTAAATAATTATTACCTTCAAACCGCAATAACTTGTTTAATTTAAATGGAACACCCTGTATATTTTACGAGAATCAGATGCACAATTTAATTGTCTATCAAATTATATTATACCATTTTTTACCTATCTCTTTAAGTTTCCGTAGAAAATGCATTTTCTTGTAATTTAGAATTTATTTATCAATATACCCATGGAATATTGACATTTTAGATTATTTTTAAAGATGTACCAAATTTTTAAAGAGTACAGATACTAATATTGTGGATATAATTCGTTTATTTCATTAAAAAATAAAAAAAAACTGTTTAAATATTTGTTAAAGAGGACCAATTAATATGATTCCAGTATTCAAACTACATTAACTGACTGCATTGATTAATAATAATTGTTCCAAATGCTAAAAAAACTGAATTTTGTATGGGTATTAGACAGTGTGATAAAAAGTAACATCTTAAAATGATATTTAATTTTTTAATAAATGCTTATTTATAACAACAGAGACTTTAATTTTGATAACTTACTATTATATTGATTTCTGACTCAAATCCACATTTATTTAGAATAATTTATTAACGAATACAATTAAGTATGTAATTAATTAGTATACGGGCGGAAATAATGGTGCTATATTTAATTAATGGTATACTCTTATAAAGATTTAAATAGTTTTCTTTTTGCATACAACATTATTATTTTTAGCAAAACGATAATATTACTAGAATGTCAATATATGATGTCAATATTCCATGGGTGTCAATAATAAAATGTCAATATTCCATAGGTATATTGATGAATGAGGTCTAAATTATAAGAAAATGCATTTTCTACGAAAACTTGAAGGGATAGGTAAAAATGGTATAGTACAATTTGATAGACAATTAAATTGTGCATCTGATTCTCCTAAAATATACAGGGCGTTCCATTTAAATTAAACAAGTTATTGGCGTTTAAAGCTATAAATTATTTAAAATAAATTTTTAGACACTCTGTATAAGGTAGTATTATTTTTATTATTGCAACACAATAACTGATCAATAAATAAACTTCAGTACATATTTAGTATTAAAAACTTTGATACCCTTGGAGAAATGAAGCCTTAAAATTTTTACTGCAATTTCACAAAATTGAATATATTTCAAAAACGGTAAGGTTTAAGTGTAATAAACCTTAATCAAATTTACCTTTATTTTAATCGTAGAAACTAAAAATGTAATAATATACAGGGTGTTCCATTTAAAAAAATACAACTTTGATATTTTTTACTTATTTGGGACACTCTGTATCTTGTAAATTATTTTTAAATTGTACCTCTAATAGTCCTTCATCGAACCCAGAACTTGAAATTTGTAAAAATATAATCGTTTAGCTACAATACTCCGTGTCGTATGTGGTGAACAACCCTGTATAGGGTGGTGACAATTTTGATGCTCAACATTGGCATCTCAGAAACTACGAGAGATACGAATTCGGTTAAATGGGACAAAAGTTGCGTAATTAGATGTTTGACAAACACCTATGAAGAAAACCTCGGTATCTCGATTAGTTTCGGATTTATGCCAAAAAAATGAAAGTAATACGTTTATTTTAAATGACAATATCTTTAGAACTATTGTATCTATTGCAACATAAATTGGTAGTTCTATATTTTTGACTGCCACCGTTTTCAGAAAATTTCTAAGCCTTCTAGATTTCGAACAACAACAGTCAAGTTTTTGTTTTCTTATGGCCGCCATTTTGAATTTTTATACTATTAGATAGAGCAACAAATAATCTATACGGTGGTATATGATTTATATTCATTATTATGTAAATTCACCTAAAAAATAGATTTTTTAAAAATTCGCTTAAAAGATCAAGTCTGCCTTGGAAATCCAATTGACACTTTATCTGATAGCAAGTTATTTTTTGTTTACTCAATTAAGTGTCAAATCTGGACACAAAAAAATATAGTAGATAGTGTAAAGTGTATTAACAGTCAACAACATGTTTACAAGTGAGGAAACACGAGATATGTATGAAAAAATAATAGAAATTCCGATATGGCATGCGCAAGTTATAGAACATTGTATCCTGAAAGGACACAGCCTCATCGTACTATTTTTGCAAGGATTTAAAGAAATTTAGCAGTTGCTGGTAGCTTTAAAAGCAAGGGAGCAATATTTTAAAAGACTTAATGATATTAATGTGCCAGCTCAGACTGAAATTAATCCGGAATCTTCTAGCCGTAAAATAAGTCGCGAGTATTGTATAAGTGATTCTTATGTAGGGAAAATTATCAAAAAACATAAATATCACAACTTTAAATTTAAATGTGTACCAAATTTACATATTTTTTTCTTGCTGGTGATCAAGAGAGAAGATTACAATTTTGCAGATGGTTTCGGTAAAATGTTCAAGAGAGCTTACAAAAATATTATGGATGGATGAATCTTTATTTACAAATTCCAATACATTTAACAGAAAAAAATCACATTATTATGCAAAAGAAAATCCTCATTTAATTAGAGTAACCAGACCACAAATAAAATATTTTTTGAACGTGTTTTTGACAATAAAATTTTAGGTTCTGTATTGAGCTGTATTGACTCTAATCATAGATAAAAGAAAATAATCTACTATTAAGATAGATATGAAACTTAATAGTAAAATTTTGGTTCAAAGCGCCCCTCCGTGTTTTTAGTGGAGACTACGTTTAACCCAGCGCCTTCGCCTTTTCTGCTGTAAATGTTTTTTATGTTTATATTTGAATTCAAAGGATTTATTTTTAAAGTTACACTGATATATTAGTATATCAGCGTAACTTTAATAAAACATAAGAATATATATATTTTACAATTTATTTTTTTATTTATTCTAGAGAGTTTCATGTAAATGATCGTAAGTCGACTGGCTGTCTAATGAATAGACCGAGATTTATAGATTTTAAAGCGAACGAAAAAAAATCAAACAGCAAATACATACCATATATTTTTCTTTTATCTAAGATACATACCTTATCGTCTTTTGGAAACACGTACATTTTTGCAGTTTTGTTAGTTTCTTTGCAAGATGCAACACAACGAGAAAACACCATTTTTACAGTTAATAAATAATAAAACTATTTCTGACTATGATATTTAAAATTTAGATAGATAGAAAATTAAAAAACAAACGAGTATTTGCAAACGCAGGCCCAAATTCAATAAAAATAAAAAAATTTCCTGCGAAAATCATGCTTTTTTCACTGAAAAGGTATTTTTTGATTTATCAGCAGTCATTGTCAAGTTGACAAAACACCCTGTATATGTATATCTCACAGGCAACCCAATAAAC